GGTACTGGGAGGTGAGGTGAGGTGTGGTTAGGTGAAGTGAGGTGAGGTCACGTCGCTTTAATCTGTCGTTTCCACACCTGGTCATGACTCATAAGAACATAAGAACATAAGAAAGTGGGATACTGCAGGAGGCCGACTGGCCCATACAGGGCAGATCCCTTTCACACCCATCCCAGCACTTCCATGTGCCTATCCAACTTCGTCTTGAAGCTCCCTAGCGTCCCCGATCCTACTATAGCACTCGGTAGCCTATTCCACATATCCACAACTCTATTACCAAACCAGTGCTTGCCTATATCCTTTCTGAATCGGAATTTATCTAATTTAAAGCCATTTGTTCTAGTTATTTCGTTATTACTGAGCTTCAGAACATCTTCCATTTTACCCTTGTTAATCCCACTTACCCACTTGTACACCTCTATCATATCTCCCCTAACTCTACGCCTCTCTAATGAATGTAAGCCTAAGCTTTTCAGTCTTTCTTCATATGGAAGGTTTCTAATATTATGGATCATTTTTGTCATTCTTCTTTGTACTCTCTCCAAAGAATCTATGTCCATTCTATAATAAGGACACCAGAACTGAACCGCATAATCCATGTGTGGCCTCACTAATGCTAGGTAAAGTTTCAAGATAACGTCAGCAGTTCTGTTACTCACAGATCTAGATATGAACCCAAGAATCCTGTTTGCCTTGTTGCGAACGCTAATACATTGTTTTCTAGGTTTCAAGTCGTTGCTAACAAATACACCTAGATCTTTTTCACAAACTGAGTTTTCTATTTCCGTGTTACCTAGTTTATACTTAACGTTTGTATTCGTCTTCCCTATCTGTAGTACCTTGCATTTATCAGTATTAAAATTCATTTGCCAGTCTACTGACCACTCATGTAAGGTATCTAGATCTCTTTGAAGGTGTTCAAAGTCACTGTCTGAAGTTATCACTCTCCCCATTTTGGTATCATCTGCAAATTTACTAATCCTACTAGTTATGCCTAAATCAAGATCATTAATGAATATAACAAACTCATTGGACTAGTGAGTTAGTCAGTCAGGAGCAGTGCTGCTGTGTGGAGCTACTCTCTTCTGCTGCTCGTGAAAATGCCGAAAGTACAAAGAAACCAAAATGAAGTGCTGAGATCATATGTAAAGGAATTTGATGCATTTACTACTGATGGAAGTGTACTGTTTTGTAAATATCGTGAAGCACCAGTGACAGCGAGCAAGAAATTTCAAGTCCAACAACACCTTAAAACAAGCAAGCACATCCGACTCGAAGCTGTTAAGTCCAATGGTGCACAAAAGGAGCAACAACTACTTCTTGCATGTTCCAGTAAGGCTTTATAAGTGACATTTTTAGTGCATATAAATGCATATTTGATATTTCCCATGTTTTTAGTGCATATTTGCATGCATATTTCATGGTTTTTTAGTGCATAACTATCCGGGCCCTACTAATAACCTACTTGCCCTACTTTAGGCATAGTTTGACCATAATGACAGTAAACGCCTGCAATTGTCTAGCTTATACTATTAGGTGGACAAGGGGTGACTGAATAAAAATCTATAAACATCTCAGAAGACATTATTTTGTTGAGTGTTTATACCTGGAGCTGGCGGATGACCGCACTACTTGGGGTCACAGCTTAAGGTTGCATCCTCTCTTGTGAACACTGAGGAAAAGAAGCTGTTCAATGCCTCAGCTTTATCCTGGTCAGAATCTGCGTAACTACCATCTTCAAGCCTCAGGTCTGATACTCCTACTCGAGTTTTCAATTTCGACTTTGCATAGCGGTAAAACGCCTTTGGGTTTGACTTGACCTCGCTTGCAACCAGCCTCTGGAACTCCTTTTCAGCCCTCCTACACTCTATCTTTGCTTGGTTTCTGGCTCTTGCATACATCCTCCTGTCTTGCTCATCGTTTGACCCAACCCACGTCTTGAATTTCTGGGTTTTCTTCTTAATTTTGTCGACCGCCGCATGGTTCATGTGTAGTGAGTGATCCCCTCGTATTTTTCGGAGTGCGAGTTGTGAACTCTTGGAACAATCTACCAGAGAGTGTTGTGACGGCACCGAGTGTGAGCTCTTTCAAGACAAGACTTGACCAACACTGGAGCGGGTTCAGGTACATTCAGGAGCCGGTGCATGCCCAGTATTTGCCAACAGTGCGTGACAGAGACGTGACCGATCGCCCGGGCGGCTAGCGAGCCGATCTTTTGGTGAAGAAAATAAATGAAAAGAGACGTGACCGATCGCCCAAGCGGCTAACAAGCCGATCAGTGGCGAAGAGGATAAAAGTAAAAAAAGTAAAAGTAAGTTCAGAAAATTGTCAGGGTGAGTTCATTCAAGATCAGACTTGACTAACTCTGGCACGAGTAGATACATTTTGGAACCAGAACATGCCCGGTACTCGCCAACAGTGCGAAACACAGACGTGACAGGCCCCCAAAGCGGTAAAGGAAGCAATTAGTGGCGAAGAGGATAAAAAAAAGTTAAATAATCCCATTTAGTGGTAACTATAATAAGAAAAAGTTATCTGTATGGTAACAAAATCAATAACTTTTTAAGGCGGTTAGCGTTCCCCGGTCACAGTCATAGGCTTGTGGGCCGTGGGTTCGAATCCTGGCGGGTTGAGGTGTTGATTGTATGTAGAAGTCCGCGTGCTTTATTGGGCTAATGAAATATATATATATATATATATATATATATATATATATATATATACACACACCAAGGTGTATATATACAGAGGAGAGTGAGACCAGGTCCACAATGGTCAGGTATTAGGTAATGACCCTACTAATCTTTAAATAGCACTAACCTGACCATTGTGGACCTGGTCTCACCCTCCTCTGTATATATACACCTTGGTTTGTATTTCTCTCTCTAGTCTGTACTCACCCCTGAAGATGTGAATTACACGAAAGCGCTTGGGAACTTCGTGTTTTCTTCTTTCCTTGTGGTTATCAGCATATATATATATATATATATATATATATATATATATATTTCATTAGCCCAATAAAGCATGCAGACTTCTACATATAATCAACACCTCATCCTGCCAGGATTCGAACCCACGTCCCACGACTGTGACCCGGGAACGCTACCTCTGGACCACTAGGATACAGGTAATATTAAGGTAGCGTTGCCCGGTCACAGTCGTGGGCAGTGGGTTCAAATCCTGACGGGGTGAGGTGTTGATTATATATATATATATATATATATATCGTCATCTCGATGACTCATTTTTCCCAGATGAAATCTTACTAAGCTAGCATTAATGTGATTATCACGCTTAAGGTCAATGTAGTGCTTAAAGGTTTGTTTGAATGTCACTGAGCCAAGCAGTATGTTTAGCGACCTCAGGCATGCACGAGTACATCATCGATATAAGAACTTTTATGTTATTTCTGCTGACGATTGACCCAAACATACAGTATACATCATATTTCATCTACATCTCTTGTCTATTTATGTGAAATAATTCTTGGTGGGTTCATGTACTCGTATGCATTTATTTTCTTTTAGTACAGTGGCGTACCCAGAAATTTGCCTGGGGGGTGGGGGGGTTTTGGGGGAAGCGAACTTTGAACTAAACAAACTGAGGTATTGTTGAAATACGATATAATTAATATTTTTCGGTACTTTCATGATGAGCTTACCGTTCAATTAGTGATGCTATTATTTTTATTTTGTTATCGTTATTATTTTTTTGCCTTTCTTGTTAAAATTGGTTTATATGGAATAATTTATTAGCTCAAGGGGAGAGGGCGATCATCCCCCTGCCCCTTCGGTACGCCTATGTTTTAGTATCAAGAACACCGCATCATACTTGTCTCGAAATCTCGTCGCTTGGACAGTCTCTTGATACTCGTTTTCCTAGAGCATATATGTGTTACAGAGTTAATAAGTGCGTTGCAGCGTTAAGGACAGTCACGGACAAAAGTTCACTCCCCGCTGTGAAACTACAGTAAGTCATTGGAATGTCTCCGAACTGACTTACCCTAACTGTTGTATCTCGTTTGGAGTCGATGCTACTTCATTTTGGGAGGGAGCAAAGTTTTGATCCCGACTGTATATGCTGTGGATACCTAAATACCGTAATGTGAAGGCTCATGAAGGCTAGCAACAGTCTCACCTCCCCTCATAAGTAACGAAGAAACTCATATACAAATAGGTAAGAGAGGAAAAGAGGGTATGTGTAGAGGTACAGTTGCGGACAAAATTCCCTGGACACTTGAGAGTAACTGGCACGTAAGTAGTACTTGAGGATCACTAGGTGAGGGGGGGATTGGAATTTTATTTGGCTAATGCCAACGATTTTATTCTGTGTAAATAGGATCCCGTACACAAGGGGTTAAAGATTGGGTTTTTTTTTGTGGTTCCGACATAATGTGTCATAAAAGCCAACGTTGTTAGAGCTAAACCAATCATATACTGCATATGACCCAGAAGTAGATGCCAGATAATGTCAAGTGTTCAGGGAATTTTGTCCTTAAATGTACAACCAACCTTAATTGATGACTAAAAAAGCAGTGGATAAAAAAAATCGCATGTAACTGCAGACCTCCAAGACTGTGGCCTCCTATATTTAACAGAAATAGCTAAAATGGCGCCACTGCAAAGAGGATAAAGTAAAACAGTAGAAGTAAAGATTGACATTAATGTACAAGTACTCTCTTCATTCAACATTGATATATCTTAGTTATGAAATAAATAATATTTTTTTAAATCGATTTAAATATTAGATCATCGTAAAGTAGATCTCCGTAAAACAAATATCAAATATTAAACAAGGAATAAAAAAAATATTGATAACCCAATTCTTGAGTAACAGTTGAGACTCTGTTAGCGTGAGAGACATGGAGATGGTCAAGTTCTATCCTTATTTAACACTTTACTCTGTATCTAAAGATAGTATTTTGAATTGACCATTACGTAAACATTGCTTGTGTGTCATTATTATATGATAACTACGATAGAGAAGCTGTCGTTTTCTCATTTCTGTGAATTGTTTTTTGTTAAGTTATGGAACGGCGTCTGGACCACAAAAAACACGTGTGTTATTCCTAAGGATTGTGAGTTGTGACTGTCATTTCCTTCTCTCGTCCTGTCCCCCTTAAAGTTTGAGACAATAAATGCTGCACATCCCAAGTTAACAGCGACATTACTGGTTGTGAAGCCGTTATAAAGGTAATAGTCATCGATCACAGGTGTGAGGACGTATATTTAGGTTGAGCTGCCATACCTTTACCTTCACTTTAATCTTAACTTACACTGCTTGTTTCTCGCTCTAGTGTATGTAGAACGGTATCTTATTAACATCTTGAGAAAAGGAAAAGACGGTAAAATTATCGTTTCGGTCATCCCTATGTTTTTCCGACGGTTTTTGAGGTAAATTTGCATTGTCACACCGTTCACTTTTAGCAAGTAAAAATATATATTTTTCTAGTGTAGTTGTGTGTGTTTGGACCGAATATGACCTTCATTTCTGGCGGAAATTAGCCGGGGTTTTTTTTGCGATTTTTTTCGTTTGACGTTTTCCGGAAAAAAGGTGGCTAAGTGACTAAAAAATACACAAAAACACTAGAAAAACAAAAACCAAACCTAACCTAACTTAACTTAACTTAACACTCTCACCATATGATGGAATCATCTATTTCTTACCTTATTGGCCTGGTTCTTGTTCGTCGTTGGATTCTGAGATTCTTATACTACGCCACATACCGGGTATGTTGGTCTTTGCGATATTTACATTCAGTCTTGCTCCTAGTACACTTTACTGAGGTTGGAAGAACACCATGTGATCGAAAAAATGCTGTAGTTTCTTTGTTTTTTTCCAAAAACTCGCAATCAGCTCCATATACTTATAAGTGACACCCATCGCAGACTTACATGGTCGGAACTGAACTTGAATTTCAAAATATGAGAAACCCAAAATTAAACTCGAATTTAATTGGGCCAAATATACTCCGAATTAAACCCTAAATCATTTTAATGGGTTCCAAAATAAAAAACGCTTTTGACTGGCCGCATGACGTGTACGGGAACGCATGTGCGTGATGACTTATGAAGGAGACGTGAGAGACACGCAGTGTTGGGAGAGAGGCAGACGATAATGGCAGGAGGTTAATGGAAGAAAATAAATTTTTTTTGGAAAAGCTATCTCCGTTATTATACATTTCCGCCGGTAATGTAATAGATGAAAATTATCTTATAATTAGACATCTTATTCGAATATGATAGTAGATTAGTGGTAGGAATGAACGGTGTGTAAATGCAATAATACCGTTTTTGACGTTTTGAATGATTTTGATCTTGCCTAACCTAACCTAACCTTGCCACAGAACCCAGGAACTATGTCTAACCTAACATACTTTCCTAAGAGTCCCTGGATGACTGAAACGTTAATAATACTGAATTTGGAGACAACCACTGAACACGATGCTATGACAATGCCATTGAAAAAGAAGAGGGCTAGCTTCTATGGTAATCCTGGAGCAGATGGCTAACACCAGAATGTATTAAGAGAAATATCAATAATATTAGTTTTTTTAACACTTACATTAGTAGAAAAGATGGCTGGGCACACGGGGATGGGGGGGTTGGTTCCGAGGCAGAGGGCAGATTATTGGCCCTCACCTGTATCACTTGTATCACTATCCACCACAGAGGCTTGCAGGGCCTCTTTGTCAAACCCCTCAATGTCCATATAAGTCCATATCCTCACTATCATTATCACTATCACTGACTTGGGCTGGCTGTAGTGGGTGGCGGGTGAAGAACTCGGTAATGTTTTGATGACTGGGCGACCTTGTGCGCACCCTGCTCGCGCCGCTCTCCGTGTAAAAGGGTACACACACCGCGGAAAGTGAGCATTCCGTGTTCGGCAAGGTACCGCGTAAACGTGGAAACGCGTAAAGTGGGACCGCGTAAAGCGAGGGTTGACTGTACTGTAGTTTTATTTTATATTTTCTTTATTTATAAGCCATATCGTTTATATAGAGTAGAATAAGTGTTAAATAAGTCTGTTTTTCTGAAATGAATTTGTAAAGTCAGCCTGTAGCACTGTGAATGGACGAGTTGATGGTTCTGGGGAAACAAAATACACTCTGCCACGTTCGTAGAGTGATACAGTATATATAATTTGTAATAAAAGTTTAAAGTCCTGCTCTAATAGTCGAGATAATTATATTTCTCTAGAAACAGGGCCGCCATTTGCAATGATGCCATTTGCAATGATGTCACTAATTTCAAACTCATCACTGCAGTCGTAGGTACTAGAAAGGCCCCAAATGCCACTTTCAGATAAGTTTTAAGGGTGTTTTTTTTTTATGGCCTAGGTCATGGACATTTCGTAAGTGAAGAAATGTGCCGTGAAAAGCAGTTTCAAACATAGGTTGGATGGATATATGAGCGATAGGGGCTGGGTGTAAATGGGACTGCCCAGTATGGGCCAATAGACCCGCTGCAGTTTCCTCCATTCTTATGTTCTTTTGGACATAAAAAACTCCCATGTTCACATCAGCTCAGCTGTCATGTACGTATTCTTACCTGGACTTTCTCTTTTTTAGTGTACAGTATTTACAGAGTACAGTATATCAGTATCAGTACTAGATGGAGATACGAGTCAATTTAGAATTAATGACATTGTCTGGACTTTGTTTTCAGAATGCCTGATGCAAGGTAAACGTGACAACATAGTGCTGTTGTTGTTTTGATGATTCACTAATGAACCAATGGGAAATATCATCATTTATATTAATTAATGGGTAAAATTTTACCATATCCCTGTAACTACCATAAGTATTTTGATGTTTAGATTCGAGATAGGCTATATCGGGTAAATTTTAAGTTTTGGTCATCCCTGTACTTAGACATGCAGACTATGTTTTTTTCTGATGGTTTGCGATGTGTTATGGAAGATTTAGACCTTCATTTCTATCGGAAATCACTAATTTTGAGTTGCTACCCCCTCCCTCACCGATGTATGTTTAGCTAATCTTATAACTAACCTAAACTAACCTATGATCTGTATTTTCTTATGCTATCGAAAAATGTTTTGTGACAGAAATCCCGTGGAGATAATGTGTCTTATTGTTTAAAGTACTTAATCCCATAGTTAGAATCTTAAGGTGCCCCAGATGACCAAAACCAAAATGATATCAACATTGTTTGGAATGTTTATACAGTACAGGTTGAACCTCCCTAATCCGGCATCCTTTGGACCTGACCGGTGCCGGACTATAGAATTTTCCGAACCACAGGTGGTCTTTGTAAAATACATAGTATTATTGTTGTCACACAGTTTTAATGTAAATGATATAAGTTAATATGCATGCAAAAGGATAAAGAAAGAAATATGAAAATGAAATACCTGTACAGGTAATGTATTTCAACTACAATAACATAATACAGTACTGCATATACATCCACTCCTCGACTTACGACCTACCCGACTTACGACCACCCATACATACGACCGCCCCAGTCGTACCAAAATTTTTTCAAATTACGTATTTTCGAGTCCCGACGTTAGTGATTGCGCTGTGTACTGACAAAATTTTCGTTTGTAATTCCATTTAAAATGGCTGGCATGCTTAAAAGTGAGAGTTTTGTGGTGCTGAGAAGAAAAAGAGACACCCATTTTAGATTTTCTATGTATTATTTTCGCATTTTCGACTTACGACCAATTTGACTTACGACCTGGAATTGGGTCCCAAACCCTGTCATAAGTCGGGGAGAGACTGTACTGTACTTCTTAGTGTCAGATTCACTATAAAACTTAAGGATTTGAAGTTTTTGCTTCTTGACATCATACACTGTAGATGATCCAACATTGTACATTTCACATAACGCACGGACCGATACGCCACTGTCCAGTTTTTTCAACAGTTCCACCTTCTGTTGTAACCGATATAGATACGTGTACGTGTTTGCGGCGTTTAGAAGCATTTCCTGCACCAGTATCACCTGCTGGTCGCTTAGAATGCATATTAAGGGTAAATAACAAGTGAAATATTACAGAAACACTTGAAATACCAAGGAACGCACCAAACTCCTTGAGAACCAGATACAGTATAAACAAAGGGTATGCCGAACCATGGATACTAGCGCCGGTGGGTACTAGCGGCCGTCCGGCAAAATAAATTTTTGCCGGACTACGGGAGGTACCGGACAATAGAGTACCGGATTAGGGAGGTTCAACCTGTACTATGAAATTTGTTGTATGGGCAACTAATATCCATTGAATTAGTATATGTGCTTAGCAATATTTATACTGTATATTCAAAATAGTATTACTGTACTGTGGCACAATACAGCACAATTAATTATCTATTAATATTTATTTACTGAGCCTATCAGCCAAGAAGGTTGGACAACTACAGCTGGCTGACCCCGCTGGGAAACGCCCCCCAACCAGTGACATCACAACCAATCACAGAGCTTTTTGCAGTCACTTGACTTTTTAGCAACTTTAAACCTTATTTTTTGACACTTTTTGGCCCAGTTTATTTAAAAATATCATTTCCATAGTGAATTCAAGCGTTTTCTTTACCCATTGACCTACCATCTTAGGAAATAATTCCGACCGTCAACTCGTCCATTATAAGATTTATTAGGGGATCCTAACAGTGAGGTTCAATTAACCAACACCTCTCAATCCCCATAGGGGCTGGATAACTGGGATTCTACTGTATAATGTACATTAATGTATATCTTTCTATACTGTACTTCAAGAAATACAGTACAGTACATATACATATTTAGAACTTCACTGAATGTGTTTCAGCAAACAGAATGATTTAACAGAATTGACATTTGTTATTATATACATATCATAGTCACACATGTTCATAATACACAATAGTTTAGATAAGAAAATTTATAACAATGTCTTATAAAATAATATTTGAAGTAAAAACATACATCAGAGGTTGTGACCATCATAAAACTGATCTGAGCCATCGCATAGCCGTAAATGGTGTTAATTTTTTTAACTTTGTAATATTGATTGATCATATATCGCTTCTTTGTTTAATGGTCAACATGTGTAGCTACACCATATGCTGCCATCCCTTCCTCTCTTGTTTGACAGCTGTGTATGTGTATAAAACCAGGTATTTGTTTTGTTTTATTTAATTTTCTCACAATTAACTAAAATTTTACTGTTTTTACAATTACTCTGTATATTTGTTAAAGAGGTAGGTTCATAAATATTTGCTGAAATTGAAAAAGAAACAGATATTTTGATAAGTTGAGATACAATTTATCTTTCACCTTAAGGCAGTGCCACAGTGGTGACTATGATGTGACTTAAGAAGTGTAGGGCTAAAAAAGATCTGCTTGTCAACTTTATTGTTTACATTTCTGTAGGGTTATTTTGATTTTAATCTATCTGTCAACTTTATAATTATTGCTTGAATCTACTTGTCCACTGGGCAACTGCTCGATACATAGACATTAAAAAAACACTTGCCCGGTGATATGCCCGGGCTAGTCTGGGCTCTGCCAGGCCATACAAATTTTTCCATCTTGTAGGAGGGATCAGCTATTCTGTCACTGAAGCTGTATCACACATCTTTTTTTTTTTTTTTTTTTTTTCAGTTCAAGTCATTGTGAGAACAGAAAACTCAGGGTTCAGCTCATCTGTAATGTCTGTATGGCATCAAATCAAGCACACACAAAGCTCCCCCCCCCCCCTTACCGTCACCTTGTTGGTTAACAGACTTTACTGGGTCAGCACGTATGGGGAGGTAGGGTCACGTCTCACCTGGCAAATTCCCATATGGGTATCTTCTTCTCAAAATATTATCTTGTTCTCTGGGCAAGTGCCAGGCATCACTTCTCCAGCCCTCAGTCTGGGCACATGCAGGCTGCTGGGCACTGCTAATCTGTAAAGCCTGTTGTACATGTATCTAAGGTTAATCATCTTACAGTATAGTTTTCATACTGTTACATGTATTAAGTTATCTGAATAACTCTGTCCTAGTTAAGGCATATATATTCCTCATAGCTTTTATCATCTACCTCTTCTTCTTCTGTTACTGTATTATTATTACAGGTTTTATTATTATTATTATTATTATTATTATTATTATTATTATTTGCAGAATTCATAATCATAAATGGGGAATGATTCATTAAATCCAATTCTTGATGCTCCCAGGGGATGAAACAAAAGTGACTTTCGAGGTGAGGTTCGTCTCCTGAAGGCCCCATTTTCTCTTTGGAGAGGCAAGGGAATGTCAGCGAGTGTGGGGAGGTCTTAGCCAGACCTGTATGGCTCCTCTCCTTAAATGGTAATGGACATTTTATCAGAGAACCCTTTGTTTCCAGGTGTGAGATCCAATTATGGGTGGAGGGATAGCTTTTTTTGGTAACAATACAGTACTGTACTGTATCCTTACATGACAAGGTGGTTTTGTCACAAAGAATTGCTGCACCAAGTGCTGTAAATCATAAGTTATTTGTAGAATCAATACAGGTAATCATATTGTGGGTTATTTCTTTTTACACCATCATAGGCTGGGATGCAAGGTTTCAATCCCCATTTTTACTAAAAAAATAATTTGCTTCATTAGGAATAAACATTTATAGGAATACTTATTTTAGCTAGAATTATTAATAGTATTTTATATTGTAACTAATGATGTAAATGTCCATTAATAAACAGTAAATAGTGACTGTACAGTACTGCATGCTTGGATGGTTGAATTAAACAGACCCTTTAAGATGGTTCATGGTGATTAATTAACTCAAATGTTAACCCAACACTCTGTAGATGTATCCTGAAGTCTTCAATTTATTTTTCATCAGTTCTTACCATACAGGGTGCTGGGCACTGTTAATCTGCACAGCATGAAGTATATGTATCTCAGGTTAATCATCTTACAGTACTGTACAGTGTATAGTTTTCATACTGTTACAAGTACAGTATTAAGTTATCTGAATAACTGTCCTAGTTAAGGTGTATTCCTCATAGCTTTATGTCCTTATTCTTCTTTGTACTGTATTACATTTTACTTTAATTGTATAATTTTGTAGAGTTTACCCTTTACCTTATATCCATCTTTAGGTATTCCTTGAGACAAACTTTGCCTGTGACAAATAAAGATGGCAACAAAGGAAGTGGCTGTGGAAAGTGATGACACTGGTGCTGAAGTCCGCATTATTGGAGATCCAATTGTAAGTGTTTATTATGTATGGTATTCGTATGCCTAGATTAGTTTGTACATTACGGTAATTGCTGGTATTTAAGAGTAACTAACTATGTGTGTAGTAATAGTTCATTTATTTGTCTCAGTGTGTCTGACCCTTTTTTGGGGAGCAATCAGTTGCCTGATTCACTTATACTAGTAATTAAAATAGGGAACCTGTCATATGAGTCCTCATGTATGGTTTTTGTGTATTCCATCTGGAGGCACACTGGGCATACATAAATGGTTGGCAACTGTTAATTGGTAAAGAATGACCTCTGAACATGACTAAGTTTCATTGAATTAGTTTTGGCTAGATTCTTGACAAAATTTGTTATGATATAACTTGAGGTAAAAATGATGCCTTAATTCTCAGTGCTGTGCCATGATGTTGAAATCTAAATTTAAGTTGAGTCATATTTGTAGTTATTTAAACCTTGACTCCTCTTGGAAGGACAGCGTCAATTACAGTACTGGATATATGTATTATATACAGGGGGGTCCCTGACTTACAAATGCCTGTCAATACAAACTAGGTCCCATTAGGTCAATTATTTTTAAAATCCGACATAAGTACCTGTACAATGGTTAGTAGCAGTTACATATGAGAACTAGTTTACGCGGCGTAGAGGGGAGGCGGAGTGGTGCGTGGGGCTTGATGAGTCACCCAGCCATACGCCTTGAGGGAGCGTCAGTATACTCCTTACCCTCACCTCAGTAACCTGTGTGATCAAGTGCAAACTTTTGTTTTTTGCTTATTAACTCTATTTTTCTGCCCTCATCATGGCTCCCAAATGCAAACCTAATGCAAGTGATAGTTTGTGCCTCCAAGAAAAAGAAAACAATTACAATGGAAGTGAAAGTTGATGTAATTAAATGTTCTGGAAAAGGCAAAACACCCTCAGTGATAGGTAAGGCGTTGGGCTTCAGCTGATCAACGGTCAGAACAATTTTGAAAGACAGAGAAAATTCTTGAACATGTTAAAAGATCTACACCAATGCAGTCAACTGTGATAACTAAACAAAGAAGTGGATTATTAATTGAAATGGAAAGATTGTTAGTGATATGGGTGGAAGATCAAAATCATTTGCGTCTGCCTTTAAGTCTAGCCTTGATTCAGGAAAAAGCAAGAAGCTTGCACGCTGACTTGAAGGCTAAATGTTGTGGTGAAAGTGATGGGGATGATTTTGTTGCTAGTAGGGGCTGGTTTAACTGGTTCAAGGGCAAACTTAAATAGCATTAAAGTGCAAGGTTAAGCAGCTAGTGCATATGAAGTTGCAGCTAGTGAATTTCCTGCTTCTTTAGCTAAAGTAATTGAAGAAGGAGGTTATTGTGCTGAGCAAGGTTTTAATATTGATGAGACTGGTTTATTTTGGAAAAAGATGTGTGAATGCACGTACCTTTCAAAACATGATAAAACAGCACCAGGGCATAAAGCTGCCAAGGAGAGGCTGACCTTACTGATGGTGGAAATGGTGCTGGGGACTACAAACTAAAACCTTTGCTTGTCTACCAGTTAGAAAATCCTAGAGCTTTGAAGGGTGTTTTCAAGGCAGCACTTCCAGTTATCTGGAAAACTAATAAGAAGGCTTGGGTGAAATTGTCCCTTTTTGAAGACTGGTACCTTAACCATTTTGTGCCTGAAGTGGAGCGGTATTGTATCTCAAAGTCAATGCCTTTTAAAATTCTACTGGTTCTTGATAATGCACCTGGTCATCCAGAATTATTAGATGATGTTCATCCAAACATTAAGGTTGTGTACCTACCTCCAAACACAACATCTGTTTTACAATCAATGGACAAGGGAGTTCTTGCTTCATTTAAAGCATATTACCTGAGAAGGACATTTGCTTAAGTGATCAGGGCAACAGAATGAAAAGAGGGTAGGACTTTAAAGGAATTTGGGAAGTCCTACAACATTTTGGATGCTGTGAAAAACATTACAGATTCATGGCTGAGGTAAAAGAAACCAACATGAATGGTGTTTGGAAAAAACTCTGGCCACGGTTTGTCCATGATTTCAGGGGCTTTGAAGATGAAGTTGGGGAAGTGACACAGACAGTGGTAGACCTTGGAAACCAACTCCAGCTTGATATTCATGAGGATGATGTCACAGAGTTGCTTGAGTCTCATGCCGAAGAATTAAGTAATGAGGACCTGATTGAACTGAAGAAGAAAATCTTGTCAGAGGATGAAGAGGAAGCTGAAACTCCAGAGCCAAAGCAAGTCATTACAAAAGAAGTGGCAGAAGGTTTCAGTCTTATTGAAGAAGGATTGTTTAAATTTGAACAGCAAGATCCCAACATAGCAAGATTCACCAAGGTTCATAGAGGTATTACTGAATGTCTATGATGCTACAAAGAGATTTGTGAAGAAACGAAGGAAGTTTCAGTTCAACCATCCCTTGAAAAGTTTTAGGAAAGTCAAAAGGCAGCCAAAACCAGTCCCATCAACCTCTGCAGCATCTACAGAACCAGTCCCACCAACTTCTGCAGCACCCACAGAGCAGCTCCCAGCAACTCCAGAACCAGTTAATTCTACCTCACCAGATTCTTCAGAACCAATCCTGTTAACATCTACATCATCATCACCATCTTCAGCTTCATCCCAATAAAGCCTCTTGTCACTCCTACAAATGCCCATCTCTAAATGTAAGCCAGCCCCATGCTTCATTGTAAGTGTTAAACTTTAATTTCCACCTTTCTTTACTGTATTTTGTCATTCAATTTCTTCTTTTCTCTTAAATTAAGTGATTCAAAATGTATAAAAAGACTTGAGTTATGATATAGTGTGGGTAGGGTATGTGTTCCGACTTACATACATTTCCAACTTACAGACGTCCTCAGGAATGGAACCCATTCATAACCTGGGGACCCCCTGTATATGCTTTTTACCAATGTAATTATGTTTTAATGAGTCCATCAGGTATTCTTGGAGTATTTTAGGTGGAGAATTACTATAAAATTCCACATGTCAACTTCCCAAGTGAGGTAGAGTTTGGAAGGGCATGTTTTCAGGATACTAGTTGCCATGGGCGTGTTTTCAGCCAATAACTGGGTTATACCACAGACTACAGTGTCCAGTTTAAGGTCCCTTCATTTGATCATGGTTAATGACTAACTGACTAGTTTTTTCTTGAGTTTTCTGCAGTTACAGTACTGTTGCATGATTTGGGTGCCTAGATTTTTTATGTGTTTTTTAGGTAATTGGTTTTCAGTGTCTGAAGGAGGTATGCCTGATGTAACTTGTAGGATGGGTCAGGCTCTGAATAAGGATGATATTTCTGGAGAGGCCAGAGTGCTCCTTTCCATGGGGTTTTCTCCTTGCTGGCTTCAAGTGGAACACTGGGAGAATGTCAGGTGGTCTTCTGTATGAGATTACAGTGGTCCCTTGATGAACGAACACAATTGGTTCCACAGAGTCGGTTGTTAACCAAAAATTTCGTTAACTGAATCTATTATTTCAAAGGGATATTGGGTAATTGGTTCCAACTCACAGAAAAAGTTTCCATACAAAGTACCTGTACGTTATACCGGTAATAGAATTAACAAAACATTAAATATAAACTAAATACAGTACTGTACTGTACAGTATACTGTACAATAATAAGTAAAAAACAATAGAATACTATATTTTAACTTGCTTTGAGGTGTGTATGTCGTATTCCCGGCAGCTTTGTTTACATATCAAACAGCTGATTGTAGAAGCAGTCGATGATTATATGCCATATTCTTTACAGAGTGCGTTGGTTCTAATGCTGTCTTCATGTTTCATAATAATTTCTGCACTGTATATTATCAATATGTTAACTAAATTTCAGAATGGCCAGTAATTTTAATGTAAAAATGCAAAAATATTCAAGAGCACAACTTTCTTGATATTTACTCCACTGGAAAAGAATGTAAACATACTGTAGAACCAATTACTGTATTGGCGGACTAGCCGATCAGCTGATGCGCACAACAAAGCGTGTTTCTCGTAAGGCTGTTGTTAATCAAAGTTTTGTTCGTTAATTGAACTGAAAATCCTGATGGGAGCTAATTCGTTAACCGAAATTTTGTTAATTGGATCGTTTGTTAATCGAGGGTCCACTGTATACTGTATCCCTGGTATTTCCATTTCTGTGGTCGTCTGAAGAGTTCCAAATGGTCATGGCAGCCATAATAAGAGCCTGGTGTCGATACAGGCAGCATCCTTGAGAACAATATCTTCTTCAGTTATTATTAAAGGGGGCATGGCATAAGTCTTGGCTAGAGTTCGTTAACATAATAGACATTCGCACTCTCATGTCAAAGGTGTGGAAGAGAGTGAGAAAGACTGCTGGGAAACACTCTCCCAGTACACCTCCTGGACAGTAAGTGGTGGTGTGGCACAGTCAGCAGAGGTAGCCAATGTGTTCACTGAAGCATTCGTATCTGTCATGGGGGATTGGCCAATCAGTCTTCTTGCTCCAGCAGAAAAAGACACTGGAATGGCAAGGTCTTGGCTTCTCCCTGGGAGGAGAGGCCTAAATTATAATATTGTGCCTCTGGGAGCTGGAGTCTAATCTTTCCTCCAATCCAAGTAGTTTCTGCTGGAAATTTTTTTCCAAGTGTGGTAGGAGGGTAGGCTCCCTCCTACATGAAAATCTGCAGTGGTTCCCCCCTTCTCTAAGCCTGAGAAAGACCACTCTCTCCTTCCCAGTGTGGGTTCTGTAAAATGCACTCCACTACAGATGCACTTTTAAGATTTGAGTCGGAGGTATGTTGAGTGTATGCTTTGAATTATCATCATCTGGCAGATTTTTTTTACATAGAAAAGGGATATGATATAGCTTGGAGGTTTGACATTCTATGAGAGCTCCATCACTGCAGATTCCAAAGATGGCTGCCTCATTTTCTTAAATTGTTCATGGCAGACAATGTCTTTCAGGTGAAGGTGGACCCAGTCCAGTTTGTCAGGTGGAGGGGAAGCTTGAGGACACAGTTCTGAGCAAGACCCTTTTTGCCATGGCAATTAATGGTGTCACCCAAAGTTTTCTCTTTTCTCCCGTCTGTGTGTTGCCGAGTGTGCCACTCAGCAACACCACATTCATCTAGCAGTGAATCAGGTTTCCTGGTGGACAGAGGTGTGTGGCTCAGAATCCCGACCTCGAAGATTGTGGCCAAGCATTTCTGCCAGCTGCGGAGGCTACACCCTGACTCTGACCTGAGCATTATGTGGTGCCTGCATTCCGCTGTTGGGGGAGAGACACTTACTGGGTCTGGTGGTAGATAGGCAGATGACCTGGGTACCCCACCCTCAGTCATTTTAGAAGCCATTCTTGCAAGCCTTTAACCTTCTGAGGGTTTTATCCCACATGTCCTGGGGCACTCCCTGTAGGACCCTCTTAACTTTTATTTACTTTTAAATTTTTCCTCTTCTAAACTGACTGGCTCGTTTGTCACTTGGGCAGTCGGTCGCTTCTCTTTTACACACTGTTGGCAAGTGCTGGGCATGTACTGGCTCCAGAATACTGTATATCTGTACATGCACAAGTGTTGGAGTGAACACAAGAGTTCAGTATTCAGATGTGAATACGAATACTGTACTTCTAATTTCTAAGAATACAAATACAAAGAAACAGTGTTACTCCGAATACAAACATAGTAGACCTTTACCATTCGCGAGTTTGCGATTTGTGATTTTGACGATTCGCGGTAAGCAGATGGTGGCTATGGTGATTAGCTTGCAAGCCTTTTCCCGCAGCACATCGAGTCACCCCCACGCAGCATCTCGTGTTGTACTCTCTAATCTTTAGTGTTTCTGTGTGAAATGGCCCATAAAAGAATGCCTAGTGTCAGTGCTAGTGGAGTGAAATGTAAAAGGCAGAAGTCAGTGATGACCCTGACAAAGAAAGTTTTATTATTAGATAAGTTAAAAGAGGGGATGAGTGCTGCCGCGGCTGGTCAGTTGTTTGGTACAGGTATACAGTCGTAAACTAAGGTAGTATAAGTTGCTATTCGTGGTTTTGCCAATTCGCGCCATTTTTTGGAACCTATCCCTCGCGGATGGCAAGGGTCTATTGTACTTATGAGAGTACAGGTGTATTCACGATTGCAGTCATGAATAACTGTATTGGTTGAAAATGTAAGTTTTTATTGCTATAAGTATGGTATGTAGTGGTAGATGATTTTATGATTGGTAAGGTATTCAATATACCAAACCTGCCCTGTGTAGATATATTTATTTGTTCTTTCCTAGCACAGTAGTTATATTAGAAACAACATGTCATTTGTTATTATGCTAAACATACTCTACTTTTCTTAATTCTAGACAGGCTGCAGGCAGGCAGTGTTAAATTTTAATAATAATAATGATAATAATTACTATAATTATAATAGCTCGTCTTTTTTTTCTCAAAACTGCCAGTTCTTTTAAAGAATTCACTAGCACTTGAAACATTAAAAGTCAAAGACTTGAGAATAAAATGAAATACTGTACAGTAAAGCCTCGAATAATGACGTTAATGTGTCCTCCAATATTGCAGTGTAAGGTGAATCATCGTATTGGGAATCATTATTACCATTAAAATAAAGCAATAATAATGAGATGCGTTCCCTAGTATGACTTTTCATATCTTTTGTGTAGCTTTTTACCTTCTTTTCTCCCAAAACAATAAAATTTATGAAAAATGCAAACTATATTCTTTAAATAATGCTTATGAATGCACCTTATACAATATAAATCAATAATGATATGGTTACACAAGAGGAGATGGGATGCCATTGTTTTTGTTAGTGTTTACACCCGGGACGATGGTTCTATATAAGAAACTGAAGAAAATAAAATCATGGTTGTAGCTGTCATAAAATTAATGTAAAAAATGAATTCTGTATATGTTATTTAATGTTAATAAATGGAACAACAGAAGTAGCTAACCACTAATGGCAAAGAAAAAAGGGAGATAGATTGGGAACGCCAACATATACGTGTGCGCTCAAGGAAACAGCGTTATTTATCTTATGAAGAATATGTACAAAAGATTCATTATTATTTATTACTGAATATGTATTTGATTGAATTAATGTTTATACAGGTTGACTATCAAAAATCCGGCAACCTCGGGACCTGAGGAGTGCCGGATTTTCGAAAATGCCGGAAAACTGATGGTTATATTTGCTGTATAAGTTTAACAGAAAATGACTACCTGTACAGTCCTTTAAACAAAGAAAATTAAACACTTAAGTTAGGATAATATAATTGACATTGCTGGATTCCTTGTAAGACCAGGAATATTTTGAATATAAATGTCATATATTTTGCCCAAAAGATAACATATTTATTCAGAGTAAACATTATATCTAAAATTTGTATGTCTAATGCAAAATCTATGATGTTTATATTCAAAATGATCATCAAATTGTAAGAATTCCAGCAATGTAAATTATATTCTGGCCGGGTAATTTGTATGAATTTTATGAGTTAAAACATATATCTTCATTAAATAAACAAAGAAATATTTGAAAATGCGCTCCGAAATCCATGCGGGAAAACTGAAGGTTCCGGTTTATCGGTTGCCGGATTTTTGATAGGCCACCTGTATATGCAAAATGAACAATATAATTCATTAATAATATGTAGAATATTAAAACACACAAGAGAAGACGAGACGGCATTGTTTTCGTTAGTTTACACCCGTGACAATGGTTCTATGTAAGAAGCTGAAGAAACTAACACCCTGGTTATAGCTGGAGTAAAATTAATGTTAGAAAATTAATATATATTTGTTTTAAGTAATATTATTTAATGTAAAAAATGGAACAATAGAAGTAGCTAACCACTAATGGTAAAAAAATAAAGCGAGACAGATTGGGAAGGCCAAAGTATATTCAAGGAAACATAGCGTCATTTCTCTACATAAGGATATGAAAGCAACACTTATTTACTGTTCATATATGTTTTCAATAATACTTACGAATGTTAAACAAAAATTCTACTCACCAATGGTGGTAAAGTATAAAACATAAGGACAGCCAATGATGATGTTTGAGTTTTTACTCAGATGACAAATTCATCAGGTTCAACTCTGGCTGAAGCTGTAGGTTCAACTCTGGCTGAAGCTGAAGCTATCCATAAAGATGTCATAGCTGTTTCTGAAACTGTTACTGGACCTGAAGTTGTTGATGAAGCTGCTTATGATGCTGAATTTGATGGTGTAACTGAAGTTGGTGGTTTAGGCCTTCGAATAATAAAGCTGTCGAAAGAACCTTGCACAGCTGCTTTCTTTTCTCATTATACATCTTTATGTAGAGGTCATTTGCATTTTTCACATCCCTGTTAATTTTAATGCTTTGTTCTGTTAAAGGACTCACTTCAGAAAATATGTTCATTGCTTGCTCCATATAATATCCACAGACCTCTTGCCCTTTTCATATCATTTTAACACATCTAGTTCCTCAGCTAAGCTTATACACTTTCTTTTAGCTTTTGAACCAGCACTACCATCACTTGCTCTCTTGCTGATGTTAAATAGGGACACAGAAAGGCCGTAAGAAACTTGAGAAAGTTTTTCTCCTTTTCCTGTTCAGATGCGTAAAAACAAAAGACCCGTCAAGCTGCGACTGTTTATACTAGTGATGCTGGCGTTACCACTCACAAGCCCGCCAGCCTCCATGCGCATGTTTTTTTATTTATTTTTATTTATTTTTTAATACATTTCGGGATTTAGTTATAATTTATAGGAAAATGTATTTTTTTTTATTTTTTATTCTATTTTCGTCATAAATACGAAGAAAATAATGGCGTAAATTGAATTGGGTCCTAAATTAACCAGGGTCTAAAATATGAATTGAGGTTAGTAGAACCGTCATTATAGGAAGCTTTCCTGTACTGTATTCATGAATTGAATTACTGTATATAAATTAAGTCCTGTAGATGTAATATATGTAAAATTCACTATTTTCAGGGCAAAGGGTTATTTGCTACTCGAGAATTCAAGTCTGGAGAAGTTATCTTTGAAGAAAGACCTTTGGTGTCTTGTCAGTTCTTATGGAATGCTGCCTATGGGTACTTGGCATGTGACTTTTGTATGAGGTAAGGTTAAGTACTACTTGTTTATTGATATGCTAATATTAAGTCTAAATCACAAGTCAGCTTAATATGTGTAAATGGTAAGTAGATGTCATGCTGTTCATTCAGTTATTCCTTTAACTCTTCTAGTGTTCTTTAAATAAGTTTATAGTTACATGTTAACCCTTGCTTAAACAACTTTCCATCAACAGGCAACTCCTAATTAACAATACTGTTAGAAGAAAAGTAATGTCTGGCAAACCTCTCAATTAACCCTCTGGATACTCTTGACCGTGGTCGGAATTCTCACCCTCCCACAGTTTTTCAGTGCAGGTTGCATCAGTAACAGGAATGGTTTTTGCATTTTAGTGAACATTGGGTGTAATGATTCAGACCCAAATTACACCCTCATGCATCTGCCAGCCCATGAGGCTAGTAAGAGGAACTTAGTTGGTTGATAAGGCCAGTTCCCTGTTCCCACATTTCTGCTTACAGGAGGGTTGCATAGGTGCGCTTAGCAACACATTGTGTCGGCAGATCATAAGAGGGATAACGGGATGTTCAACTGCAGTGTAGCTGTACAGTTGGCCAAAGACCAAATTACACCATTATTTCATTACATTCAAACAATAATCACCCCATAAGCAAATTAATACTGTAATAAAAAAAAAAAACTAAACTTCAAATAAAAGAATGAAGTTCAGCGGTGGCTCGTCTGTTACACTGTGCTGGGAGACGCGTGATTCCCAAACTACAAAGTGTTGAGTCAACTCATGTAAACAGTAAATTTATTTATTTTTTATATTGCTTTCTGAACAAAATAATTATACAGGGTATAATATTTTCAATAAGAAAAATATAAAAATATGTAAGATGACATCTTACAGATGCAGCACGGTACTGCTAGACATGGCACTGGTATTGTACAGGGGAGTCACCCAATAATGCGAATTAGGGACTGTCAGGGCCCGTACTTGCCAACAGTTCGTAACAGAGAAGTAACTGATTGCCCAAGGGGCTAACGAGCTGATCAGTGGTGAGGATAAAAGGTAAAAGTATAATTGTGTACAGGTAAACCTTGATAAACGATGTCTCGTTCAGTGATATTCTGCTTTAACGATGGTCAAGAATTAAGACCATCTTGCTTAATACAATAAAAAAATTCACTTTAACAATATCCATGGATATCCATTGGTTGAATTTATTTTTTTTTTATCTCTAGTGCAAACTGTGGGTTGTATATACAGGTACTCAAATTAATCGCTGTCTTGCAAGGATTCAAGCAATGCAAATTATATTTATTTACGTCAAGTCAGTGAAATTTTAGAAGGAAACATTATTTAATCCTATGCACCAAGCACCTCTGGCTGCATTTGCCAGCCCATGCACTACAGCCTTGCGCTTGGTACTTTCAATCGCATCTCCCTGCCTTCACATATCTCCATGATTATCGTTCAGCATCATTGGCTGTATGTACAGTACATTGTACTTATCAGTTTTTTTCTTAAATAGTAAGAGGACAGCACTAACACTTAGATTGAACTGTGTTATGGTGACTGAGAAGGGATATTTTCTGTGTTTTTGTGACTGTAAGTGCTTCACCTCTGTTGTTGTGAAAATTGTGTGAGCAATGTTGGACACTATTATTGTTTTTACGTTATCATCGTTCGCTCTGTTTTTGTGACAAGTGCTTTTGCTCTGTTTTTGTGACTGGAGTGAGCAGTGTAACTTTAAAAATGTTTGGGAAGACCAAGGTATTCTTTTCTTTTATACACTCTATATATTCATATTTTATATTTCTCTTTTCTGTTGTTATACAGTATATTACAACTTCTATATCACTTTCTTTACTTTCTTTGTTTATGTTATCTAGGTTAATATATTTTTCTAAGTCTTTATTTCTGTATGCTTATTACTTTATTTCTATATTTTATTTTTCTTACTTACGTAGTGTTATTTCTTTCAATGCTTTTATTTATTTATTTAATTCAATATTCATCTTTCTTTTCTATATCTTAAATATTTGTTTCAATGTCATCCTTGTTTCTTATCTTTCCTTACTTCTTTCAATACAGTGAACCCTCACTTTTCGCGGTTAATTCAACCCACGGCGGCCCGTGTAAAGTGAGAAACGCGTAAAGTGAACAACATAACATATGGGATTAATTGAAATAGAGACCGGGCCGACCCCCAAACTCCACTTTTTCAGACACAATACCTACGTTGTAGTAAATATAACTTCTTAATTTTATGATGGTATGCACACACAATTAATAATTAAGAGAAATATCAATAATATTAGGTTTTTTAACACTTACATTAGTAGAAAAGATGGCTGGGCACACGGGGATGGGGGGTTGGTTCCGAGGCAGAGGGCAGATTATTGGCCCTCACCTGTATCACTTGTATCAATTGTATCACTATCCACCACAGAGGCTTGCAGGGCCTCTTTGTCAAACCACTCAAAGTCCATATAAGTCCATATCCTCACTATCACTGACTTGGGCCGGCTGTGGTGGGTGGCGGGTGAAGAACTTGGTAATGTTTTGATGACTGGGCGACCTTGTGCGCACCCTGCTCGCGCCGCTCTCCGCGTAAAAGGGTACACACACCGCGGAAAGTGAGCATTCCGGTTTCGGCAGGGTACCGCGTAAACGTGGAAACGCGTAAAGTGGGACCGCGTAAAGCGAGGGTTGACTGTATTTATCAGTGCTTAGTTATATTCTATACAATGGATTAACCTGGGAAAACCATTTAATTCTTTAACAACACCTATTGGTATAATTATTATACAGGTTGACAATCCCTTATCCGAAATCCTTGGGACCAGAGGCATTTCGGATTTTGGAATTTTTCGGTTTTCAGAATGGTTAGGGATATTTTTTTTTTTTTTTTTTTTAGCCCATCCGGGCACAAGTCACTGACCCACATTGGGGCCTGGGGGGGCGAAAATATAATAATAATTATAATAATAATAATAATAATAATAATATTACAGGTAATAATAATGATTCATAGGTCTAGGTCGTGTTTCTCACTTTTTATCTTTTTTTCATTCTTGTATTTCTGTTATTATTATTATTATTATTATTATTATTATTATTATTTTATTAATACAGTATTATTGTTATCATTATTATTTTATTTTGGTGTATTTTTTAATTAAAATGTTCATTTACTCTGAATAATTATTATTTTATAGTTATTATTATTATAATAATTAGTATTTCTATTACATTTTCGCCCCCAGGCCCCGATGTGGGTCAGTGATCTATGCCTGGGTGGACTAATCCCTGTTAAAAAAAAAAAAAAAATGCTCCACAAAAACTTTCGGTTTTCAGAGCTTTTCGGAATTTCGGATAAAGGGTTGTCAACCTGTACTTACAAAGCTAGTCTGCCACCACCCACGTTTTTAGTAGAACATAACTGATATTAAAAATGTTAGGTAGCGTGGTAGTTACAGTATTTACTTTCTGAGAAGCAATTGTTAGAATGAAAAGAGTGGTGAATCTCACAATTTACTAATTCAATGTTTATTAGAATCAAATGTGAATAAGATGACAATTTGAACATACTCAAACAAGAATAGACCACTTGATCTCACTTTAGAATTAACAAAATAGATCTTCAATTATTTGTTACAACATTAAACAACTGTTATATTATTTCTTTGACAATGAAGATGATCACTTTACACACTTGCTGATAGCACAGTGATGATAACACATTACTTATAACATCATGTTATGTCTGAATGAACAACATGGAACATGTACCAGATCTCAGTTGGGAGCGCACATTGATGGTTTACTCACAACACATATAACAAACTTTAATACTGTACTGGTCTTGGCAATATTTATGGTTTCAATACTCTGGACAATTATGTTTCTGCTAATTTTCCCCATTCATATACAGTACAAGAACACTACTTTGCACATATAACCGAGATTAGTACAACAGGGTCATTCACTGGTGTTTACGAAGCGCGCTATTAGCATCGGTTAGACTCCAGCGCATGGCTAGAGAGCTCATCCTCCCAGGTGGAGCTCCCAGGGCGCGTTACTCTCTCTCTCTGAACTTAATCTCGCTGAATTAGAAACATCCTGCTTTGGAGATCTTGCTGGTAGGCAGCTACTGGTCCCCGGAAGCTGCAGGTATTCAGTTACAACACACTGTGCCTTAGATACGATGAGGGAAGAGCCAGAAAGTAAGTCTAACCTCAATTACACACAATCATATGTCTGGCATCGACACAGACGATATTTACGTTTCGTTAATTCTTACTTGGCACATGAGAATTTCACTATGTTGACCCCTACGCCCCGGTTGACATTCCGGAACGTCCATCTAGGGCGCTCCGTTGACATGCCGGAACGCGCGCCTTTTCGCGCCAATGTTTGATGGGTTATTAGGTTCCAGCATGACTATATGGTGGTCACGCCACATGCAGGGTAGCGTGAGTGGGCTCAGTGCGGCTAGTACGCATTAGCCTGTCACCATGGAGAGTTGTCCCTCAACCTAGTGAGAGAGTACATGTATGTCACCGAGCACTTTTTATGAAAAATAATGCAAATAAAATAAGTTCTAAATGAATCATTTATAGGAAATAGGTACAGTACTGTATTATGATCAGTAAATATATGCATTACTGGCGATCCTGGACACAAAGGCAAGCGGAAAAATGGCCGCTAAGTGTGTAGTGACCATGAGCGCTCACTCAAAACAATACTGTTCCCTTATCTCCCTGTGGCCCCACGGAAGTTTCTAGAGGGTCAATATATAGTTTTTCTTACTTCTTTTTTGGTTGTTTTATCATTTGAAAAGGTTAAAATTATACAGGTATTTTGGAAAATATGAACACTGATATTCACAAAGTTCAACTGAGGTAAATTGACTAAATATGGCGGGTGTGAGGCACTTGTTACATACCTGAGATACGATGAGGGAAGCGTTAGAAAGTGATGCCCTTCCTCGCGCACCTGTTTATATACAAGGCTAAATGGCAACTCAGGCAATTCACGCATTAACATACACTTCATTTAAATCAGTTGCTGTGCATTTGACTATGAAAATCAGTGTCATGGGTCAGATCAATTTCTTATATCTATTGTTACAATCTAATCGGAGTTTAAGCTTGCTAGGTAATAGTAAAATGGATGTCATATGCACAAGCTGACAACGTCTTTCTTACCACCTCATCAAAATTTAGACAAGGGCCGACTGAGAGTTTGCCACTAGATCTCGGAGATAAGAAGACTGACATATTCTTTTCAGGATATTAATTACTTTCTAAAATATAAAACTGACAATAATTTCAATACAAACATCAGATTCTCTGATGATTGAGAATAAAAATGATCTAACTTCAGTGTTAGTCGGAAACTCGAGGCATCCCTAAGGAGGATGTTAGGGATTCGTCACTTCTATTGGTAGACTCTACTCTAACTTATTTGACAATTGTACTAACAGTAAATACAGTTGAAGCTTTCAACAGCACTCACAAGGGATCTTGAATGTTTCATCTGTAATCATGCATAACTAACTTATGTACAACATGTGGGTTCTCTCTCAATTTCAAATCTCTGAACACGATATGAGGTACAGTGGTTCCAGAAGGTCATTCGTTAACCGAAAATTTCGTTAACCGAAACCATTGTTTCAATGGGATTTTGGGTAATTGGTTCCAGCTCACCGAAAATTACATACAAACTAAAAATAAATGCAGTAAAGTACGCTTACTTTGAGGTGTGCATGTAGAAGGCTCTTGGTTGATGATGATGGGAATTAGAATGGGGGTGGAGGAGAAGGGAGAAGAGAAGGCATTGGGGTGGAAGAGAAGTCATCCCATGCTTCATATCGCCATTTCACCCATAAAATTTTAGTTCACTTGGTGTAATTCAAGATTATTTTCTTCAAATCAACACTGCACTGCATTATATATTGTCAATATGTAAAATAAACTTCAGAATGACCAATAATTGTACTGTAAAGATGTAAAAATAGTTTATGTTCAAGAGAGTCTCAAGCAAGATGCTTCCTCCACTGAGCAGGGACACAAACTGATGCCATTCTGGGCGAATCAAGTGGCTGTTTGGTGCGCTAGAAACTAGTTCCCTGTACTTCAATTATGTTAAATAATTGTTAAAATGACTAAAAAATTTAAGATAAGACTTGGAAAATTATTGAATAGTACAACCTTCTTGATATTTACTCAAATGGTAACGAATTTACCGGTAAGCCCTAAAACCGATTACTGTATTGGCGGACTAATACTACAGCTGGTGAGCAGACGAAAACATGGGAAAAATTCGTAAGGATTTCATTAACCGAAATTTTTCGTTAACCGAAGTGAAGATTCTTATGGATGGTAATTTGTTAACCGAGGCGTTCGTTAACCGAGGGACCACTGTATTAAGAAATATCAGAGTCTCTGAGGTACATGAGAGAAAATGGAGGACTCAGGTGTACCGAAGCAGTGAGAAAACTGACAGCTCAACTGGGGGACTCAATAAAGAAGTTACAGCTACATGTTTTATTGGCTATTGAGCGTAATATGAATCGTTTGATTTTACGTTAACTAACATGTACGACCGTGGTCAGTACAACATAGTAGAATGGTACTGTACTAAATTACACTACAGGTAGTTTGGTAGGATTATTTGTTGTTTGTGAACGGATTTAATATTTTAGGTATACCGGGTACAGTAATGTATTAGGGTTTTCTTGTCATTGGGAACCATATCCTGTTTTTCCTCATTTGTTCTGTTATTCGCTATCCAAATGGAATCTTACCCAGTTGAATAATAGGAATGACTGTACTGTATTATTATTATTTTTAATGTAAGAAATGATAACTTATTATTGACTTCAGATTATTTATTACTTAAACCGAAACATGGGACAAAATTTTTTTTTGTAACTTTGGATTTTGTAAACCTGGTCTTTGTAAATTGGGGACTACCCTAATTAATGTTTTGAAGAAAAAGCAAACATTCATGCTACTCTAAAAACTCAACCATTTCACACTTTCTCAAATCTTATTACATCAACAGGCCACTTGAAACAGCAGAAGAAAATGCATGCAGACTGGCTCAAAATCCTCAGCTGACTCTGCCATATCCTGAGTGTTGTGACTCAAAGAAGGATGCTTTAGTAGAGTGTCCGTATTGTGATGTAAGTAGTCTTTTTTATTTATTTTAATTATGTGAGGTTTGGAATTTTTCTCTCTAAAAAGTAGAAAACTTGGGTATTTGAAGAAAAGAATAACTGAATTATTGATGATCTAAAGGAATCTGGTTGACCTGGCTTAAAATAAAACAAAGTTGAATGGCATATGAGAAGTTTGCTGAGGACAGGGGAGGGATATAATGTCTCGGGTATCTGAAAGGTTAAACAGTGTTGCAGTGATGGTTAAGAGATGAACAGTATAGGTATGTGATGGAACTCAAGGATGTCAGTTCTAAAATATTATAGATCTGACTAATAGTAGGATATGAGAGAGAGAGAAGTAAGAGGTTGTTGTGAATATTTATCACACACAGTAAAGAAAAGCTACAATGTATGAGATAGAGAGTGATGCTGATGGAAAATTAAAATTTGTGAGTGTGGGACAACCACCCTATTTCTACGCACAATTCATTTTATGCGGAAAAGATTCCCTAGTATGCGTTCTGCAGAAGATATGGCACTCTAGTTTTGTGTATTATATTAAATTATTATAATATATTATACAGTATTATATTATACAGGTATTATCTTTATTTCTAAGCCACATTTGAGTATTTTAATGATTTTTCTGCAACTTTTATGGCATTGATGCTCCAGAAATGGTTGTGAAATGTGGTACAGTGTGTGTGTGTGTCTACTGCGTTGTATGGGACGTCAGGGGATGTTGCTGGAGTGGTGAGTCAGTCACTCCACACACTTTCTCTTTCCACACAAACACCCATGCTCTTCATATGTCTCAGTTTATAGTGTTAGTGTATATTATATTATCTTTATTTCTAACCCACATTAGAGTATTGTAATGATTTTTTAGCAACTTTTATAGCCTTACTGTTGACTTTTTTTTTTACGGGGAATAGCCCACCCGGGCACAGGTCATCGACCCACAACGGGGCCAAGGGGGTGAAAAAATAAGAGTAAAAAGATTATATTAATCTACACCACGAAGTTGAGACAGATTGTATGAGTATGGAAAAACAGAAGAAGGCAGAGCATTCAACAGTTTGGCTGTGTGAAGAGAGAAGTATGTACTATAACGGGTTATTCTAGTGTGACCGACATCCACAGAGAAACGGCGGGCACCACAGGCAAGACGAGTGTTACGAGCCCACGGCCTTGCCGGCGGTACACAGGATGCCAAATCCACCGAACATTGCCCGTTAAAGTACCTGTAAAAGAGAGAGAGTGAAGCAACATTGCAGCAAAGAGAAAAGCACGAGAAATTATCAACTAAAGGAGGAGAGCTAAATAGACGAAATGCCTTTAATTCCACCCTATCTAACAGTCAGACAGAAGAAGAGCCATTCCAGATATGAGATCAGTACTCCAAGTTAGGACGAATGAATGCTTTATAAACTTGATGTAATTGCTCAGGAGTGAAGTAGTTACTGCATCTGTACAGCATTCCCAGGTTTCAGGAGGCAGCCTTAGCAACATTGTGGATGTGTGGCTTCCATGACATATTAGAGGAAATGGTGAGGCCTAGCATGTCTATTTTAGAATTTGACAGAATGATTACGTTCTGAAATGTGATTGGTGGGAGATCATCTAATTTGGAAAGTGTAATTGGTAAATACTGTCTTTTATTACTACTGTATTGAATTTAACCAAGTTTCTACCTTCCCATTCGGAGATGCTGCATAAATCTGCATTGATAGATGAAATGATATCAGCTCTAGAAACATCCTTGACCACCGAAGGGTCAAGACGTACCTGGCGCTCCTCTCGGAGCAGCCAGGTCAACTGTTAAGTTGGCCCATACCAACCCCCTCCCCTGAACCCTCCTCCCCACCGGAATATCAACAAGTTCTCGCCAGAAGTTACTACTTCATTTAGGAAAGGAATGGAACCAGTGTTAAACAGAGGTGAACAGTGGTGAACAGTGCTTAAGTCAGTGAGAACAACGCAACAGTAACAGTCGCACCTAAGTTAACCTTCACACAGTGAGGTCCCAGGTACCCAGTGATAACGGCCTGTGAGACCCAACAACCAGCGATGTGTTAATCCGTCTACGATAGGAAGGCCTGGGACCGCACCTCACTCATATAACACCGTCTGTGAGGGAATTACTACACCACGTGAGGCCCCGCACAACACCATATGTGAAGGAGTTACTACACCACGTGAGGCCCCGCATAACACCATCTGTGAGGGAATTACTACACCACGTGAGGCCCCTCATAACACCATCTGTGAGGGAATTACTACACCACGTCAGGTCCCTCATAACACCATCTGTGAGGGAATTACTACACCACGTCAGGTCCCTCATAACACCATATGTGAAGGAGTTACTACACCACGTGAGGCCCCTCATAACACCATCTGTGAGGGAATTACTACACCATGTCAGGTCCCTCATAACACCAGCTGTGAGGGAATTACTACACCACGTGAGGCCCCGCATAACACCATCTGTGAGAGAATTACTACACCACGTGAGGCCCCGCATAACACCATCTGTGAGGGAATTACTACACCACGTGAGGCCCCTCCTAACACCATCTGTGAGGGAATTACTACACCACGTGAGGCCCCTCATAACACCATCTGGGAGGGAGTTACTACACTACGTGTTTGCTGTTCAACACTTACAATAATCTGCATGTTCACTGTATGTTCCTTTACCTTTCTTTAATGAAGGCTTTTGTTAAACCACCAATGTATGTAACAAGTCATTTATGTCCAATGTATATTTTCAGCCTTCGGGCTGCAGAACTTTTTCAATAAACCGTTAATTATTATTATTATTATTATTATTATTATTATTATCTAGTTTGAGAATTGGGGGGAAGGGAAAAATGTGAAGAAGAGTGAAGAGTAGAATCATCAGCGTAAGAATGGATGGAAATAGTCGTAGTATGAAGTAAATCATTGATAAACAGAAGGAAGAGAGTAGGTGAAAGAACAGAACCCTGTGGGACACCACTATTGGTAGAGAAAGAGCGAGAAATCGATCCCTCGACAACAACTGCCATGGATTGGATCTCAAGGAAGCTAGAAATTAGAGAACAAAGTGCGGGAGAGAAACCATAAGAGGGAGGCTTAGAAAACAAAGACTTGTGCCATACCCTGTCAAATGCTTTGGGGATGTCGAGGGCCACGGCAAAAGTTTCCCCATTATCCTTAAGAGAGGATGACCAAAGATGGGTGCTGTAGGAGAGCAGATCATCTGTAGATCTTGCCTGGCGAAAGCCTTACTGGTCCTCCGACAAAAGAGAAGGATGTTCAAGGTGACTGAGGAAATGAGAGTTTAAGATAGTTTCGAACATCTTAGAGAGGGATGAAATTAAGGCAATAGGGCAATAGTTAGAGGGATTCGACTGGTCACCCTTCTTCGGGATGGGCTGAACCAAGGCATGCTTCCAAGAAGAAGGAAAAGTTTGGGTTTTGAGGCAAAGGCAAAAGAGGCAAGCAAGCACAGGGGCCAGAGCTTCAGCACACTCCCTCAGAACACGAGGGGGTATTCCGTCCGGTCCGTGTGCCTTACTCACATCCAACCTGGATAACACACCAGCCACCCTACGAGTGGAGATTATAGGAAAGTGCATAGGTTCAGTAGGAGTAGGAGGGTTAGAGTTGGAATCGTCTAAGGTGGAATTAGAGGAGAATAAGGTGCCAAAGAGATTGGCTTTATCAGGGGGAGAGTTGGCTATAGAATTATCAGGTTGGTAGAGAGGAGGAAAAGAAGGAGTGCAGAAGTTATTACAGATGTTTTTGGTTCAGGACCAGAAGGATTTACTAGAAGAAGAGTTAGTCAGGTCAGCTGTCACCTTTTTATAAAATTCCGCTTGGCCCTACGAAGAATAGCCTTACAACGATTTCAAGAAGTAATGAAAGAAGGGTGGGTAAGAGGAGGAGGAGATAGTTCATAACTTGATATGCCCTATCTCTCTCCCTACATGCAAGAGAACTGGAGCGATCAAACCATGATTGTAAAGTGAAAGTTTTGGTAGAAGATGGGATAAATGCACGCATACCACCCTGTATATCCCCAGCAAAGCTGTCAGCACATACTGAGGTGTCCCGAGTAGAAAAGCAACATTTATCCCAAGGAAAGTTGGTTAAGAATTCTCTGAAGGATTGCCAGTTTGCCCTCTGATAGTGCCATAGTTGGCATTTAGAGGGGGGGTGGTGGAGGTGGTCACTCCCAGTTTGACTTAAATAGAAATAAGATTGTGATCAGAAGACCCTAAGGGGACAGAAATTGAGTATGAATAGTGTGAGGGGTTAGAGGTAAAACAAAGATCAAGAATGTTAGCAAGTTGATTGTGTCGATCTGGATCATTAAAGTAAGAAAACAGAGAGTGCCTCAGCTCCACCTGGGTCATCCCTTGCAGAGCCAAGCCACTCTATGTGATGTACTCCACTACGTAAAGGATCTCGGTGTTGGGGTGTGTGGATAGCAACGACTCATGACAAGAAGTGAGTTAGTCAAAGAGTTCCAAATAGTTGGTAGAGTTGGGAGAACAGTACTATAGGAAACAAAGAAAAATATTTATAGTTGGTGGAGATATTTTGAGCCAGATGACATGATAAAGGGAAGATTCAAGATCCGTGAGTTGAGCTATAGGTGTAGGTGTGTTGCAGTAGGTGCACCTCCCTTAGAACGGAAAGAGGTATAAAGGTTGTAGTTGGAGAATTGAAAAGGTTTTGGAGAAGCTGCTTTGGTCAGTTGAAGTTGGAAAGTAGTAAGAGATCGGGGAAAGAGGTTAATAGACGGTGCTCCACAGAAGGAAAATTGGATCTCAGGCTGCTAATGTTGGAAAAATGAAGTGTGAAAAAAGCCTATCCTCCAGCAACCGCGGTGGCGTCAGTTGAGACCCCAGTAGTTTGACGATGATCAGGTCAGCCCTGGGGTCCACACCCTTCCCTACCAGTGGACCCATCCAAGAAGACCCTGCTTCAATATTATTGTCAACTGATATCATAGGAAAATAAAAGAATAGAAAGAGTGAGAAAGGTTATATATGTTGTGTTGTCAATAGTAAGAGTGACAATAGTGACTCTACAATTGTGTGTAAATGAGGCAGAAAGTCAGATGAGCAACCTGGGACTTGGTAACAATTTTCGTGATGCCATTTGGCAGCAGGATCTTCCCCATAAGATTAAGTACGTATTGACTATATGCGGATTCTCATTATGCTGTGTTGTCGCAGAATGCAACCATAGCATAAAGCGAGGTTCAGGTGTACGTGAGATTATTACTAGACAAGTTATAATTGGATTAAATTTTTGTGTGAAATATGAGAGATTGATTCCAAAATCACATTTTATTGCTGAGCCTGGTTTGAGTGTAACAAGTATAGTCTGACTAGTTTACTGGTAAACCCAGGGTTCCTAGAACCCTTTTCATTGTTGACTCAGGACTATTGACTTTGTTGACTGTAACTAATATGAAAATTACTTGTCCCTCCCATTACAACCCTTTCCCTTATTAAAATTTAGGTCTAGGAGTTGAAAGTTACCACTTCAATTGTGAGACAAAAGTCCTTCTCCTTACAATAAAATGTGTTTCTCATTCCCCATTGGATTTGGCTATACAGTAGCCAAATTCAGACATGAGTACAATTTAAAAATTGCTTGATGCCTACTGTAGCTTTGGCCAGTTAGAACCATGAAGGAGACACAAAAGGTCTTTAAATATTAATGTAATTTACCCTTATGGGGAGATATTCAACCAGAAGAGAGGTAAAGGAATAAACCTTAACCTCTTCACTATGGGGATGCCACTTGTTATTTATTTAGCTCAAGCCAGACAATTTTATTCAGCACAGAGAGGGCCCCGTACACAAGGGGTTAAGTTCCTCCATATCATTCATCTCTTAAGTTAGACTAGGTTTCACCGAACTATTGTAACAATGTCTTTTTGGGAAGTTTGACTCGCCTCAAGAGACTGAAGCAGTCTCAGAACCATGAATAGTGGAAATAACATATATCTACATGAATTGCAGAGTAAACTTCCACTCATATCCTCACACTACCTGCAATCTACAGTACATTTATAAAGTGAAAAGCCAAATCTATATGGACCATCAAAAATTGCTCAAACCAGCTCATATACAGTAAACCCTCGAAGATCCAGACCCGGGAAAGCCGGATTTCGGAAGATCCGGAGAACATTTTGGGGGGTTCTGGGCTAAGAAGCCTCCTAGAAACTTCCCTAAGAAATATTTCCAAACCAGAGCAAAGATCGTCTTAGGCCCGTGTAACTACGATGTCAGCGTGCTGGACACAGGTGCCTGAGGAGGCGGGAAACATAAACAGTGTTGACAATTGTTGTTTGTGGTAATATTATTTTATTCACTCTAGTAATGATACAATGTTTCTTATTATGTTATCATAGGTAAATGTATGGTTTATATAATTTGTTTATCACTGTGACTGTCACCGTTTTCAAATTAAACTACAAGACATGTGTTTTGATCATATGCCTGGCAATGGACCAAGCAAGGGGAGTAAGTTACTGGGTCGGCTAGTTAGCGCATCAGCCGGTGTAGTGAAGCATCACTCGGCCCTGCTGTATATAACTGGATTTACTGTGTATTACGTTTACTGACACGTACATAGTGCTTAATAGTTATTAATCATGGCATCTAAGGCAAGTGTTGTTGTGAAGAGAAAGCATGTACATTTATCTGTTGTGCAGAAACTTGAGTTAATAAAGAAGTTAGAGTCAGGTGTGTCTGTGGCTCTTGCCTGTGATGAATACGGCGTGAAGAAACAAACTGTGTTAGACATACATAAGGCCAAGGATAAACTTACTGCATTTGCAATGAAGTATGACGATGATGGTGCCAGTGCGGCTAATGCAAGGAAGCATATACAGTAGTACCCCGATTTACGCAGTCAATTGAACCCACAGGGTACCGCAGAAAGTGAAAACCGCGTAAAGTGAACAACAGAACATATGGGATTAATTCCAATAGAGACTGGCCCGACCCCCAAACTCCACTTTTTCCTACACAATACCTACCGGTATGTTGTAATAAAAATAACATCTAAATTTTATGATGGTATGCTCACACAATTAATATTTAAGAGAAATACAGTCGCCAAGTTAATGTCCATTCAAATAATGGACTCAAATCCCCCCCCCCCTCTTCCCAGCTCACTAGCTCCTACCTCTCTGAGAAATGATTGGGTGAAACACTAGATTTTAACATTTAGTAATAAATAATACCTCAGACTAAAGTTAGGATAATATAATTGACATTTCTGGATTCCTTGCACGTCAGGGAATATTTTGAATGTAAACTTCATATATTTTGCACAAAAGATAAAATATTTGCTTTGTGCAAACCAAATTATTACATTAGATCCAAAATTTGTATGTCTAATGCAAAATCCATGATGTTTATATTCAAAATGATCATCATATTGTAAGAATTCCAGCAATGTAAATTATATTCTGGCCAGGTAATTTGTACAAATTTTATGAGCTAAATAAAAAAAAAAATTATACTTCACCGCGTATATGAGTAGATGCACCACGGAAAGTGAAAGTCCGGTTGTGGCAAGGTACCGTGTAAATGAGAAATCGCGGAAAGTGAAACCATGTAAAGCGGGGTAATACTGTACACCAAAGAGTTTAGGCACAATGGTGAATTTGAAGGCTTCACGCACTAGTGTGCAACTTCATAAACATATCCAACTCCCAGAACTACCTGACACAGTCATTTGCCTAAGCAGAGTGGCTTAAATACTAATGACATTTGCAGCTTCCAGCTGGAATATATAAAAGTGTCTACTCTTACTGCTTATTGGATTGCAACTGGGGGGTTGACTGTTAAATAACCCTATATAAATGATCATATGAGGATGAAGAAGCACAAATATTAATGTGATGATGAAGATTAGCCTTCAATCGTAGTGGTAAAAACTTACCACTAAGATTGAAGGCTAACTTTTGCCTCTCATAGTCTGAGGGTTGTAGTAGGAAGGTCAAGTTTTCAGATTATTTTCTTTCAACAATGTCAGAAGTCTTGGAAACCCTGGGTTATTATCTCTTAAACTAGTCTGGTCATTCTTGAGCTGTCTGAGGCAGGTATCAAGGCATAAATCAAATTACTGTACAATGTATTTATATGTGGTAATGAGTACAGGTATATGATACACACTAATGCTCTTTCATCTTGTTACAGGCATCATATTGTAGCAGAGAATGTAGAGACAGTGCTTGGAATCAGTACCATGAGACTATATGCTTGCGGTCATTTATGCCTGATCCAACCCACCCTCTTGTAATGCTGCAGGAAGCTTGGAAGTATGTTATATGTGTTTGATGTTTACTTGAAAAAAACCCATTCTAATTACATATCACCTCAGCAGTATATGTCTGGTATTAATTTTGAGGAGATAACAAGAAGGTTATTGTATATAACCTTTGGCCTGGTATAGTGCAGCTTATGCTTGCTTTGGAAACTGAAATTTTTGTAAGCTGTCCATGTAGACTGATGCTTAGCCTGAATTTTATAAATACCAGAAGCAAGACTTTGGTAACTTTATCCTTTTGTAACCTTTTCTTGCATTCTCCAGCATTTAAAAGTCCACTATTTTTTTTTATTTTTATTTTTTTATTTTTTTGTTACCTGTACCTTTATTCTGATGAACCTCCTGTTTTCATTGTTACTCATTCCAAATCCTTAAAATTTCAATTATGGCTCAATTGGAGGGGCTAGTTTGGTTAAACATGATTGGAGCTTATACCAGACTTGTTTTTTCCCAATTTTTACTGAATAGGTTCATGATTTGCAGGGAAATTTTATATACTTTTTGAAATCCTGACATGGCCATTATTTTTAACACTTTTGTGGTCTGCTTTCAGTGTGATGTGGAATAACTTGTGTTGAAAATTTTAGTCATGCCAAAGAGTTTTTTGTTGGTTTCAAAATCTTGCCTGTGATGCCATGTGCCTGGATCTTAGAGGTTAGCCATATATGTGGGACTTTGTCAAATGCATTGGTGTAATTTTTTTGTGATTGAAAGGGGGATGACTTCCAAGACTTGCAGAAATGCACCTCTACACATAATCATAACAAAATACATCTTTTACATTGTTTCAGAAAGGATAAGGCTTTTTACACAATTAGTTAGATTGTTTCATACCTTATAATCTGATGTCTTTCAACAAAATAAATTCACAAGTTCACACTATGATGTATAATCTAGAAGTGAAGCGACTTACTGGGACTGCCCAATTATAGATGACCTGGTAGGGTGGCCATTAGGTAAATCAATCGATCAGAGTACTGTCCTCATATCTGAGGGTTGGCGACCACAGTCCTCCACTTTAAACATTTTTGGGCTGTTTTTAACCAATCCTCTAAGGTTTTGTATCTCTCTGGGAACCCAGTTTTTAATTTCATTCACCCAACCCAATCTCTGCCTTCCCCTGCCCCTCTTACCCTCAATTTTGCCCATTAATATTTCTGTTATTATTCCTCCATCTCTAATTATATGACCAAAGTATCTTATTTGTTTTTTCTGTACATTTCAAGTGTTTCTCTTAAAGTTTTTGCTAATTCTAGTACTTCTTCATTTGTTTTCCTGTCAGGTAAATAAGGTGACTGGAAGCAGGTTGACCTCATCATCACTCGCTGTCACATCTCAGAGAGAGGATTGATGATGACCTGAGTTGATACATGTTGACTCTGATCTCACTGTCAGATCTCAGTCAGGGGAGGGGATGGTGGGCTTGGCAATACCTTGTTGGTCTTTTTGATGATGACCTGAGCTGACATGCAAGAAGGTTGACCCTAGCCAACCTCACTGTCAGGAATAAATCTAAAACAGACACCTAATGTTGACCTCAGACTACCATCAGGGTCTGACACAGCAAAGTAGTAGTAGTAGTAGTAGTAGTAGTAGTAGTAGTGTGTGTTCACACACACACACACACAGAATATGTGTATGATATCCAAGTCATTATCTCTTACCATATGTGTACCGTACATCTACTGTAGGTCATCTAGGATGGGGCGGTGGTGGTCAACTTGACCTGGAGGGTTCTCAATTGTTCAGTATTTTCACTAGTTCATTCATTTGATTTCCTCATAGGATGGAGTTTTTAGTTATGTATATGCTATAGTTGGTCACATTAGGTGCTGGCTATAGTATAATTGAAGTGTATATATGTTATAGATTATTAAATTGATCAAATGTACAGAAGTAAAGCTCTCCATTGATCTAAAAAATATTAGTTTAATCAAGGGCTTGGCAATGTAAGTTAAGGTTTTTATTATGGCATGTGCAGAGGTGAGTGCACTCTCTTGTCTAGGCACTGGGCCGAACTGCCTCTTCTTGTTTGGGAAATGCCATTAGTATGTATTTTAAACATTTATCGAGATACACTAATAGATTTCCAAGTATTATCTCATAAAATTCTGCTAACATTTTTTTTTTTTACGCCAAAAGGTGGTGGGGATTGCAGCCTGATTCTTATCACTGCCAGGGTTCTACGAGTCAAAAGAAAATAAGGACCAATGAAGTAGAGTATGGGTATTACTTTAGTTTCTTGGTATTGACAGCTGGCTGCTTGGTACATATTATTCAATGCTTACACAAACCTTGGTACAGTACATGGGAGATTCCACATTACAGTACTCAGTAATATATGCTCCCATTCTCCACTTACTGTTTAGCTTTTTATTTAGTTACATACCCATACCTAACCCTAACTCAGGCTTTATAAGCACCATTGGGTTAAGACTTTACTCTTAACCATGGAAATGCTGCTTAACATATAATGGTAATGGAGAAATGAAATTGCTGGTAAAAAAAAATTATACTGTACTTGTATGTAGATTTGGCTCTAATGCTACATTACTAAACATTTATTCTTATAATTAAATGAAATTGTATAAAGGATGCAATGCCCATCACTGTTTTGATACTTGTGTTGAAAATATCATTAAAGTTTTAAATGACCATAAGGTGTACTCTAGTAATATAATGTCATTGGGTAGAAGTTTCCAGTCCTGTAGACATAAGCTAATTCCTGCATTGTTATGAAATATGAAAAGGATTGGAAGCCCAGAAGATATTTTCTTTCATCTAATTCCCAAAGTAGCTTTGTGTGATAAGAGTACTGTACTGGTAATAGTTATACAGTATTATTGTATAAAACTTTATTATCTTTAATCATGATATTTTCTTCAATCTTGTGTAAAATCTATAATCTAGGGAAAAATGACATTTGAAACCACTGTCAGCAGTATAGTTAAAAAGTCTAAAGAATACATACTCATTCCAAACGTGTTCGTGCAAAGACAGATAATTTTTATATACAGTATATCTTATATACAGTATTTGCATGATGATTATATCTAAGTTTTGTTGACCTCAGACAAATGCATTACCCCCCGGAGACGGCTTGCATCATGCTCCTGGCAAGAATCATTGCTACAGTACGCCAGGCTGCTGACAAAGAGGGGGCAACAACTTTGTTCATGCAATTTTGCCACCGCACTGTTAATGAAGAAGAAGAGATTGCTCATAAATTACTTGGGACAGAGTTTCAGGACCAGATGGAGGCCTTACGAGTGATGATGGAGAAGGGTTTAGGAGCTCCGGAGGTTCAGCATGTGAGTTGGTTGGTTTTTTCTTTCAAAATTTATATTTTTGATATGCTGATTTTATTTTATTTTTTACTTGTTTATGTTAGTACAGGTACCTATACAGTATTATGTCTAATTGACTTACTTTAGAATCTGTGTTGTTGTGTTGTCTAGGTAATGAAGTACAGTATAATAAGTAGCGTCAAAAGGGACTGTGCGAGTTTTAAATGGGAAATCTATTGTGATTTACATTAGTTAGTGCTTCAGAAGATACTGAGAGGGACATCTTACATTTTTAATTATACCATTTCAGTGGCTTACTCCAGAAGGCTTCAGATCTTTGGTTGCCTTAGTAGGTACAAATGGACAGGGAATTGGCACTAGCCCTCTGAGTCGGTGGGTACGCAACTGTGATGCCCTGGAAATTACTGCAGAAGAGAGAGAAAAGTTAGACCAGCTAGTTGATGACTTGTATGAGCAGTTGGAAAAAGGTGAGAGTATTTTTAATTTGTTTATTTTACTGTAGCATATTAAGTTTCAAAATGAGTTCATATTTCACCCCAAAACTGTATTTATTTTTTGTACATCTTATACCAGCATATCACAACTTACCTATTCATCTACCTTTGGATCATCGCCTCCCTTCTCTTGTTCATTTAATTTGTAGTGGTGTTATGATGTTTTGATGAAGGCAGGTCTCACACCCAGTTGAATCAACTCTTACATTTTGATCCAGTTTGATTGGTTGTTTCAGGACCATTGTGCTTGAGGTTAGGTATTGAGACCCTTATTGTTGAATCCCTTCAGCAATAAAAGGAAGTTTCTTGTGCTGCCCTTTCAGTTTTTAGTTTGTCACTAAACCAACAAGAGCTCCTGAGTCCAGTAAAATAAATTTTCTTTCTTCCATGTATGGTGTACAGTAGAGTAGAACCTCGATAAATCTGACAAATTGGGGCAGACCCCAGTCCGAAAAATGCAAAAGTCTGAAAAAACGAATATATAATAATGATAATAATAATTATAATAATTAACTGTTTATTGAAAAAGTTCTGCAGCCCGAAGGCTGAAAATATACATTGGACAAAAATGACTTTCTACATACAAAGACATGGGGTGAGTGGGTCGTTTAACAAAAGCTTTCATAACTGAAGGAAGAAGGAACAATGATTGAACATGCAAATTATTATAGTTTACAGTTGATGGCCCGGGCCTGGGCTGGTCATGGAGACACCAGGTGGTGAGGTGTTCACGTGGTGTAGTAACTCGTCTTCGGGTACTGATATGAGGGACCTCGCGTGGTCATGGAGACATTGGGTGGTGTGGTGTAGTAACTCGTCCTCAGGTGTTGATATGAAGGACCTCACGTGGTCATGGAGATAATACTGCTTATTTGACCTGTTTAAAAAAAGTCAGTTGTTGTGTTATTACTGCACTTCAACAAATAAGGTCATTAAGTGTATAATAAGGTTATTAAAAGAACATTATATCAACATTAAAAAAAAATATGAAACAGAATTCTTTGAGTTTAAAATCAGGCATGTAAGTCTGGTTCTCAACAACTGTTGTCACCAAAATGATTGTTATTTACTGTAAAGTGTTATACAGTATGTAAGTAACCACAGAATTTGTCTCATGAATAAAGAGAAAACTGTATACTGTACAGTATTATAAAGATAAAAATAAGAACAAATAAGTGTAGGAGTTTATTGTATGTGAAAGATGAATGTTTATCTGGGAGCAGCTGGCAGAGGGGAGTGGGATAGCCTGGGTGGAGGCTCCCTCCCCATCTCTCCCACAAGATTCCTGTAACACTTCTTTATGCAATTCCACCACACTTCTCATATAATTTGGATCATTTGGTGCCAGGTTGATAAAATATTATCCTAAAAGAATCAGCTTTCATGAAAAATGAATCCCACACTGAATACCATGAGTCATTTCATACTCACTTGTTTACAAAGAGCAAACAGCTTATCTGCTTACCACACTGTCTGCCTTCAACACTTAGTAAATTAGTACAGTACAGTTGTGTACTGTATTTATCATCACTTAATAAATATTATTGCAGTGTATTTATCATCACTTAATAAATACTATAGTATATTTATCATAACTTTTTTTTTTTTTTTTATACACACATGGAATAGCCCACCTGGGCACAGGTCATTGACCCACATCTGGGCCTAAGGGGCGGAAAAATAAGAATAAAAAGAAATTACAAATAGAAAAGGAAAAGGTTATATTAATCTACACCACGAAGATGCCGGAAAACCAGCTTTTTAAAGTGAGAAAGACTGTATGAGTGTAGAAACACAGAAGAAGGCAGAGCATTCCACAGTTTGGCTGTGTGAGGAAAGAAGGATGTACTATAATGGGCTATTATATTGTGAGACATCCACAGAGAAATGGTGGGCACCGCGGGCAAGACATGTGTTACGAGCCCACGGCCTTGCCGGCTGTACACAAGATGCCAAATTCACTGAACATTGCCCGTTAAAGTACCTGTAAAAGAGAGTGAAGCAACATTGCAGCGAAGAGAGAGGGAAGAAAGATTGTCTACTAAAGGAGGAGAGTTGATAAGACGAAATGCCTTTGATTCCACCCTATCTAACAGTTGGCCAGAAGAAGAGCCACCCCAGATATGGGAGCAGTACTCCAAATTAGGACGAATGAATCCCTTATACAGTATACTTGAAGCAACTGCTCAGGAGTGAAGTAGCTACTGCATCTATACAGCATTCCCAGCTTTTGGGAGGCAGCTTTAGCAATGTTGAGGATGTGTGGCTTCCATGACATTTTAGAGAAATGGTGAGAACTAACATATCTATTTTAGAATTTGGAAAAATGATAGCATCCTGAAATGTGATTGGTGGGAGTTAATCAAATTTGGAATGTGTAATTAGTAAATACTGAGTTTTATTACTATTGAATTTAACCAAGTTTCTTCCTCCCCATTCGGAGATGCTGCACAGATCTGCATTGATAGATGTAATGATATCTGCTCTAGAAACAGATCTAGTTTTAAAGTTAGGGGGAAGGGGAAAATGTGAAGAAGAGTGAAGAGTAGAATCATCAGCGTAAGAATGGATAGAATTAGTTGTAGCGTGAAGTAAATCATTGATAAAAAGAAGGAAGAGAGTAGGTGAAAGAACAGAACCCTGTGGGACACCACTATTAGTAGAGAAAGAGCGAGAGATCGATCTCTCAACAACAATTGCCATGGATCAATTCTCAAGGAAGGTAGAGATTAGAGAACAAAGTGGGGGAGAGAAACTATAAGAGGGAAGTTTAGAAAGCAAAGACTTGTGCCATACCCTGTCAAATGCTTTGGAGATGTCGTGGGCCACGGCGAAAGTTTCCCCATAATCCCTAAGAAAGGATGACCAAAGATGGGTGCAGTAGGAGAGCAGATCACCATTAGATCTCACCTGGCGAAAGCCATACTGATGATCCGACAAAAGAGGTAAAGGAGAATATGGGAGTTCAAAATAGTTTCTGAAATCTTGGAGAAGGATGAAGTTTGGGCAATGAGGCGATAGTTAGAGAGATAAGAATGGTCACCCTTCTTTGGGATGGGCTGAACCAAGGCATGCTTCCAAGAAGAAGGAAAAGTTTGGGTTTTGAGGCAAAGGCGAAAGAGGCGAGCAAGCACAGGGGCCAGAACTTCGGCACACTCCCTCAGAACACGAGGGGGTATTCCGTCCAGTCCGTGCGCCTTACTCACATCCAGCCTGGATGACATATCAGCAACCCTACGAGTGGAGATTATAGAAAAGTGCATAGGTTCAGTAGGAGGAGTAGGAGTAGGAGGGTTAGAAATGGAAACGTCTAAGGTGGAGTTAGAGGAGAATAAGGTGCCAAAGAGACTGGTTTTGTCAGGGGGAGAGTTGGCTATAGAGTTATCAGGTCGGAAGAGAGGAGGAGAAGAGGGAATGCAGAAGTTATTACAGATTTTTTTGGTTAAGGACCAGAAGGATTTGCTAGAGGAAGAGTTAGTCAGGTCAGCGGTCTTTCTTTTTATAAAATTCCACTTAGCCCTACAAAGAATAGCCTTACAACGATTCCTAGAAGCAATGAAAGAGGAGTGGGTAATAGGAGAAGGAGATAGTTTCATACCTTGATATGCCCTATCTCTCTCCCTGCATGCAAGAGAAGAGGAGCGATCAAACCATGATTGTAAAGTGAAAGTTTTGGTAGAAGATGGGATAAATTCACTTATACCACCCTGTATAACCCCAGCAAAGCTGTCAGCACATACCGAGGCTTCCCGAGTAGAAAAGCAACATTCATCCCACGGAAAGTCGGTGAAGAATTCTCACAAGGAATGCCAGTTTGCCCTCCGATAGTGTCATAGTTGGCATTTAGAGGGGGTGGGGGGGGGGTGGGGGAGGTGGTTGTTCCCAGTTTAATTTAATAGAAATAAGATTGTGATCAGAAGACCCTAAGGGGACAGAAATTGAGTATGAATAGTGTGAGGGGTTAGAGGTAAAACAAAGATCAAGAATGTTAGCAAATTGATTGTGTCTATCAGAAACACTTGTAGGGTGTTTGATCATTTGTTGCCTCAGCTCCTCCTGGGTTATCCCTTGCAAAGCCAAGCCACTCTCTGTGATGTACAGTACTTTGAAATCCGCAACGACTCATGGCAAGAAGTGAGTTAGTCAAAGAGTTGCAAATACTAGTTGGTAGAGTTGGGAGAACAGTACTATAGGAAACAAAGAAAAATAGTCATAGTTGGTAGAGCTATTTTGAGCCAGATGACATGATAAAGGGAAGATTCAAGATCCGTGAGTTGAGCTATAGGTGTAGGTGTGTTGCAGTAGGCGCATACACCTCCCTTAGAACGGAAAGAGGTATAAAGGTTGTAGTTGGAGACTTGAAAAGATTTGGGTGAAGCTGCTTTGGTCAGTTGAAGTTTTGAAAGTAATAAAAGGTCGGGGGAAGAGGTTAATAGATGGTGTTCCACAGAAGGAAAATTGGATCTCAGGCTGCAAGTGTTGGAAAAATGAAGTGTGAAAAAGGCCGATCCTTCAGCAACCACGGTGATGTCAGTTGAGGCCCCAGTTATTTGATGATGATCAGGTCGGCTCTGGGGTCCACAACCTTCCCGACCAGTGGGACCCATCCAAGAAGGCCCTCCTTCATTATTAATATCAGTTGACATAGGAGAATAAAATAGAATGAATAGAGCAGATCAAGAGTGAGTACGTTTATATTTGTTGTGTTGTCAATAGTAAGAGAAACAATTGAGACCCTGCAATTGTGTATAAATGTGGCAGAAAGACAGATCAGGAATTAACTCCTCGATTTCCTGCTCGACCATGTCTTCAAACCCATTACCGCCTACAGCCCTGGCCACCGTCACGATGTGCTTAACTTCAGAGTCGATTGTAGGGAATCCTTTGAAGTCATGCACACAGTCACTCCACAGTGCCTGCCAACACGAATTAACCGACTCTGGTTTCAGTGCACTCATGGCCTCCTTCACAAA